CGCGGCCTGTTCCCCTTGTTAGGGCATGGGAGTTAAAGGACCAAGACACCTACCACTTGGATCGGTGCGGGACGCCCGGAACTGACCCGGACAATGAGCTCTAGTCGGGGAGTTCAAATTGCGCCTCGTGTTGAAAGCCTAAACATCAACGGGTAAGAGAACCAAATAGGCGAGAGAGTCATTCTTATTCTAGTCTATTGTGCTACTCTCCAACCACACGCCAGACCATAGAGGGGTGGCATGGCCATTTGGGTCGGACCTCGGCTGCCCACACTAAGTTGGGAAGCACTGTCTAAGGGGAGGGGCCGAGCGAGGTACCGGGTGGAGGCCGCCACCACGACGGGGCATTGACACTGCCCTGCCGGAACATTACAACCGTTTCGGAACTAATTGGAAGGTCTTCGTAACTGCACTCGTGAACTAATAGAGAACCCCAACTGTCTTGAAAGGAAGAGGCCGGATCCAGAAAACTACCACCCGAGAGGAATGATTCGTGAGGAAAACTCTTACGGCTAGACGAGGCCCTGGGAGGTTTGGACTGGACCTACCTGCTAGATATGAGGAAGAACCTCAGTATTGGTGCTCGCCACGTAATAGAAAAAGGTCGGATCGAGTACGAGGATGAGACGCCACCCGCTGGGGAGGAACTGATCACTCTTCCTTTTGTGAAGCGGATGGGCTTGTGTCCTTGACTGAGGTCGGCGGGCCAAAGGTCCAGAAATGCCGATGGATGTAAAGGAAGGGGTATTTGTCGTCCTCGCGGAAGAAGGAACGTGGACAGACCTGAAACCAGCCTACGAAACTGTGATGCTGGACGAAAAGGACGCGTTCCTCTGGATAACGACTATCTGGACTAAGGTTAACCTGACGAGACCGTCGCTGAGCTTGATGGACTTAGAGTTCCGGGGGACGATGGAAGCCCAAGGTGGGTCTACCTATCCCAGGAGATGAAAAATGCAATGGTAATAGAATTAGTGCTGGGAACGACGCCGGATTCGCTGTTTAGACAAGCGGAACAAGAAGTGGTATGGGCGGCATGTCAGCGGACGGAAATAGAAATGGATAAGATGGAGGTGCGAGTGGAGCTCGGGGATAGGGGAAATGTAAGGCGGCCTCTTAGAACGATGAGGTGCATGCTACCCCCGTTTCTGGTGGATGCAGTCTTTGGAACCAGGGGCAAATTGGAACAAATATGTCAGTCGATGTACCAATGTGCTCGATAGGACTTCTTTAGGCTGTCGGTAGAAAAGAGGTCGTTCGGAGGGAACTGGGCGGAAGAGTTAGCAGAAGTATTGAACCTCCTCAGTGCGGATGACGTCTTTGTACCTAGTTCAGTGCCTTGGCAGATAATCTATCGAAGTGTGGTTGTAAGAGAGACCTTCCTAGAAGGGTTGAAGAACTTGTTCTTTGACGCGGAGGATGATTTCAGTGATGACGGGGACGATGATGAGATAGAGGATTGGAATTTTTGAGAGGGGACTTACCCGGGAATGGGCTGTCGACTATGTGCAGGTAGGGAACGATGACCTGGGAACTCCAGTTGTGGGACTGCACGTTCAAGGGTTGGAACCGAGGCGAATTAGAGGGGGAGTAGAAATGCCCCTGCCGGTGGAATGTGTGGAGAGGAGCGACGTGTGATTGGGTCGGGCTTGAAATCGCACCGGAACTGTCATACCTGTGGATAGAACGGAAGGTGGAGTCGGTTGTGACAGTCGTCTTGTAAGAGCAAGGGTGGCACCTGTTTTGTACCACGCTTGCGGCGGGACAAAATCCGATGAAGCTTCTGGAGGGTGCGGAGACAAGGACTTGGAAGGCGGGTGAGAGGTTTGCCAATAAGGGATGGGATGAAGTCCACAGTAGGGTCGTAATGACGGGATGGAAAAAATTCAGGCCACCCTCCCTGCGAAAGAGGATCTGGGTCCCCGAGTTCATATTCCATGGCGATAGAGCTTGGGAGGTCCTCATCATTTTGAATATAGAAAGGTACGATCAATTAGTGGTAGCTTCGGAAATTAGAAAGGCTATAATCCGCCGGGAGGTAGCGGCGACACCTTGCTATGTGGATGATGTGTTTAAGCTGTTCGAGGTACTGTGGTTCGACTAGGAGCGAGGAAAGCCGCGGGCTAGGCAAGTGTGGAATACTACCGAGATAAGGGAGTGGGATGTCTGGTCATTGTAGGGTTCATTGCAAACTGCGGAATAAGGAGGCCAAGGCCAGGCGCGCAATGGCACAAAGAAGGACGTTCCTTGAGGACCGTCCGCTGGGCATTGAGTCGTCAAGGGATGTAACTGGCCGGGTAGAGATTAGCCTGGCCGCCGCAAGCGAGGGATGGCACCCGGTGGTGGACTGGGTCGGGGTTGAGCTAATGGAAAACACGGTGTACCTAGTAACGAGAGTTGAATGGCGTGCGGATGAAAATGGGGAATGGAACCCGGACCCACGGGGATACGTGTGTGCGGAAGGTTGGTTATATGCATCCGAGGACGGGTGGCGGGCGTTCAGAGTCCTGTTGGCATCAGGGGAGGATCCGTTAACTATGTTCGAGAAAGCGTGGCAACTAGTGTGGCAGGCGGGGTTCGAATTCGCAGACCCAGAACTTGATGACGTGACAGCTAACCTAAGAGTAGCTATGGTCGGAAGCTTCGAGCTGCCTAGTGAAAACGTTTGGATGAGATTGTCGCCCTTTTTGCTAGAAAGGTTAGGCGGGGTGAAGCTTGTCAGGAGGGATGTGGCCGACCTCGCCCACCTGGCGTTTAAGGACGCGATGGTCCACCGAGAGTATTATGGGGCCTTCCTAGAAATGAGGTCGTTCAGCGGCGAACAAAGGTATGAAGTGTTGCGGATCCTGCGCGCTGTATTTACCACCGGGCCAAGGGCTCCGGTCGTTAGCGACGGGATTCTATGGGACGTTGTTCGACGAGAGATAAGTCGGGGAATGACTTACATAGATGACTTGTACCGCTTGTATGAGCTAATGGAAGTAGAGACACGCCGGTAGGAGAGGCAAGTAAAAGAGGGAGGAATAAAAAAGGGGGAAGGATATCGAAGTTAAGGACCGGGGAGTTGCCCGGGTGAGGCCGAAGAATGAATGAAATAAGCAAAACTCGCTTGTTGTTTAAACAGTGCAGGGGACCGCTAATCAACAAATTGCAATGAGACGCGCACGGATGTCGCGACGGCCCACGCACCCTCGACCACCCACGGAAAGTGGAAGCGGATGGGAGGTATCGCTCCCGGCAAGCTACATGGTCCGAGGAATAGACACTGAATGGAGAGTCGTGACTTTGGGAAGGGACCAGGCGTTCATGATGGTAGAGTGCTTGTGGAGAGGGATGAGGTTCGACAGGGGACTAGGGAACAACCTGTATACCGACCTGAAGGTAACAGGAACGGTATATCTGCCGGAGGTCGGATGGCACATTCCAGGAACGGAGTTTGCACTAGGGCATGGGCTGTTACCAATCTTTCAAAGGGCTACTAGGATAGTGGACCGGATAGGCCAGGAGGTGCGAGGAAGAAGGAACGTGGGACTGAGAACCCGGGTGGAGGTAGGAGGATGGCGAGAGTTTAAGGCCCCGATGACGGGACTGCAGTGCCGAGTGCCTCGCTTCATGGTGGACTTGGTATTCGGCAGCCTCTCAAGGGCAAGAAGTTTGGTGGAGTCGACTTTAGTCTGGAACCACTACTTTCGTCCGTAGACGACGGGGATGTTTTACGATGTGTCAGTTAGGCACGGGCCGTTTTGGGGAAACCAGGCCCGTGAACTACTCGAACTCCTCGAAATCCTGATATTCGGGTTAGCACGCATGGCGTCTGAGGAATATGAACCAATAATTATCAGGGAGATAGAAATGGGAGAAAATTATCTTGCAGGGGTGGCCGATCTGTTTGAAGAACCAGATGAGCGAGAAATTTTTTTTGAGGGACCAGCGTAAGAAAAAAGTACCGGGAAAAAGTAAAAGGCGGAAAACCGGAATGAGAAGCTAGCCGTCAGCAAGGGAGTAGTGGTCGGAGTTCCTCCCTACTTGAGGTCGTGGCTGGAGGGAACTGGGAAGACCACCCGCGCTGAAGGACACTGGGGCATCCGGGTGTCAGTTAGTCAAAAGGGCTACCCTCGAGGGGAGAGCCACTAGCCTCAGACACCGCCATAAGGAACCGGGGCACGGCAGTGACGAAACGCCAAACCTCGGCAGCGAGCTTTCTGGCAGAAGAAAGACAGAACGGCGCCCTGTAGGAAATTGTCAGGTAAGTCGTCCTGACAAAAATAAGACGGTAAAACGTGGAAATAAGTAAGAATAAGGGGACCTTAGGGCCCGGAAACTATGGAAGCCATGAACAACCGGCCGTTTCGCAAAAAACAATTTTCCATATGCAGGGTAGGTAAAGGGATGGCGTCGGAAGAGGAGGCCGAAGGGTTGCCAAGCAAGGGGAGTCAGGGCACAGATAGAGGCGGGAAACGGAATGAAGGATCGATAAGGGATCGAGAGTCGGCAAAACCAAAGGGGACCAGGGAAGATGGGAAGGACGTTTCGACAGGGAAAAGTTCGGGGAAAGCCGGGGGAAGCAAAAGAGAGGACCCCAGCAAAGTAGGGGAAAAGGGGACAACGGCAAGACGAGTCCTCGAAATTCTGACGGAACCACACCCAAGAAAACGAAAGTCTCGGACGCACGTCGTAAGCTAACAGAAATAGAAAAATTGACCGCAGAATATAAGGCAAAGCTTATCGAGGAGATGATGGTTGGGAACGAAAGGGACCTTTTGGGAGAAGGGTCACAAGAAGAGCGCACGGTCAGTCAGGGCGAAGTCAAGCTCGAAGGGAAGGGCAATAGTCATAGGGGCACGCCAGTAAGAAGGATAAGAAAAAGGGAGACTCCCCGGTCATAGAAGCCGAAAAAGCTACAACCCCACCTGGTATAGACAGTGGTGCTAACCGTTTGCCCGCCACGCCGAAAGTAACTAAGGGGTGCAACGGACTTTGGAGTCTTAGAGAAAGGGTGTTAGGATGGTTTGATCAAGAGGGTACGCCAATGGCCAGGGAAAAGCAGAGGGATAGCAAGAAAGGAGAAGGGACCAGTGTGGTTAGTGAAGCGGGGAGCTCTGAAGGGGGTCTCAAGAGGATAGTGGTCACCCTCACCGGTACTCTGAATAAGAATCAGGGGTATCTTGCGGATGCTGAGAAGAAACTTACCTTCGACGGGGCAAACATTACGGAGTTCCTGATAGACTACGAGAACCTCGCAGCCTTGCTGAAATGGATTGAGGAAGAAAAGATGGATCACTTAGGGCAGCACGTGTCGCTGAGCTTAGAAAGGGACATTATGGCTATTGTCGCCTCTAGTGGATCCTGGAAAGAGACCCGGAACGAGATGATGAGGAAGTACCTGAAGGCAGAGAAAATGGCAACAGAAGCTGAATTGGCGGCAGTCCAAAGGAAGAACTATGCGACTTACAACGACTTCCTAAGGGCATTTACTCTGGAAGCACTACGAATTCCCGGAGTAACGGAGCGTATAATGAGTAAGTATTTCCTCAGGCAGTTCTCTGAGTTCGACAAGGATAAGATTTTATCGGCCTACCAGCAGACTAGCAAGTTCGAGTACACAAGGGATGTGGATTTCAGCACGGTAACAGACCTCGCAGAAAAGACGGTGGTGACTGAGACGCTAGCCCTGCTTAAGGAAGGAGAGGTTATAGATCTGACCGGGAAAACGGGGGATAAGGTGAAGAAGGGGATAGAAAGCCTGCATGAAAGAGTGCACGGGGTTGCGGCTTCCCACTTGGCTCGCAGATATAGAAAACGTACTCAATAAGTTTGCTTCCTCTATAACAAATTTCCTCAAAAACTTCTTGCTTTCCTCAGTTTCTCTCAACACCCTGTTTTTTCAGCCCTCCGTTTTCGCCTGGTGCAAAGTACAGGTCACAACCAGGGTGTCCACGTTTTCCGTTTCCCTCCTCCTGACCCTATCTTTCGCTTCCGGTACAAGATTAGGGAAACAAAAAACCTTTCTCTGGACCCTTAACAATCCTTTTGCGTGTGGTCTTCCAAATTCAGATCACAAAGCATATCACATAACACCCCCTTTTGTGTGCAGATCTAGCAGGCCTGTATATATATAGATATATATATATATATACATATATATATATATATATATTTTCCAGTAAGCGCAGGGAGGCACTAGAACACAGTCGCCGACAATTGTGAGTTCATTGAGGCTGCTATCAACGGTCCGTGTCTATGATTCCTAGGGTCAAAAGATTAATACTATGAACTGTGGCAGACCACTTGCGAGTAGTTAAAAGCTAGCAAGGTGATGATTCTTCTTGGACGTTGACTGCATGCATCAATCGGGAGTGTCTGGATATCTACTCCTATTAGACTGAAAATGCCAAAACTAGTCCCCATCCAGTAAGAACTTAGCGATTAAATAGACAACCTTTTTTAACTGTTGTTTCCTTCCTTTACAACTCATTACTCGGATCCAACATTCGCAGGGGTATGATCTCAATCGCACTCTTGGGGTCAACCAGGGCGGGTGCTCATAGGCCAGTATGATCTCGCGCTTGAACAATCGCACAAATAACCACACAAACCATGTAACCGTACGAGCATCTGCGGAAACATCACACCACCATCTGCTCGTACAAATTCTGTCATGCAGGCAGAGGTGTCCCGACCCACCCTCCCGCCCCAAGAGGCCGTTGTTCCGGCAACAGTAGCAAATCAGGGGTATGGTAGGAGGGATACGGCCAACGAGCAGTGCAGGTATTGCACAATGGTCGGACATTTCGTGAGGACCTGCCTGAGACTCAACCATAATATCATGAGGCAGAGATGCAGCAGGTCCCTCAAAGGTGAAATTTTCGGGCCTCAGGGAAAGCGCATAAACTGGAATTCGCCAGGAGGGATGCAACGTGGCGTCATCCTCCTGAATAATCTGGACATAGATGCCGTAGAAGCAGAGTCGGTAGCTGACATTGTCTGGGACCAACCGAGGGGACGCGGACCACAAGCCAATTTCATCCTAGGAGGCAATGGGCAGGATAGGGTGAATATCACCACCCGACGGGCAGGTGCGGAGAAGAAATTCAAGACACAGTAATGGAAGAAGTCGCGGGGACCAGTGCAGATCGAGGCGGAACTGACACCTGGGAACAGGAGAAGGTTTATGGAAAGACAACGGAAGATGAGCCGATAGACAAAGCAGTGGCGGCTGAGAAGAAATTCAGGTATCAAATCCTGATCTTGACCTCGTCGGAAATCGACGACACCCTGAGCAAATTGCTTGGTACCATGATATCTGTATCTTTCCAGACCATGTTGCAAGCAAGCCCGAGATTGCTTAAGGGACTCAGGCAATTACTAACGCACCGACGCGTAGAGGTGGAGGAGGCCCGGAACCACAGGAGCAGGAAACGGAAGAGGTTGAGGCACCGCAAGGGGTCTCCAACCTCCAGAGGGTTCCTGAGGATCTAGAGGACCTGGAAAAAGCCTTTGCAGATATCCGTGTAAGCCTACCGAACCGAGAGGGTAGTGAAGTCATGAGGGAACCACCCGGGATAAAACTTAACTTCCATGCACTGCTTATAGGAAAGCTAAAAGTCCAGATCGGAACCCACCACACAGATGCATTAGTGGATGGTGGGGCTGAAATAACCCTCATACAACGAGACTTCGCAACAATTACGGGCTGCACTGTAAACAAGAAAGTGACGGGGAGTATCCGGGGAGCCGGTGGGGAAATTCCCTTTGCAGGATACGTCACGAAATGCTCAGTGAAGGCAGGGATCAGGGAATCGATCTGTCCTTCCAGCGGATGACCGTGATGGAAGAGATGGACCATGACGTAATTCTCAGGAGACCATAGTGCGCCAGCATAGAGATGATAGATATGCATCTGCATGATGGCACATACATGGTGGATATAGAGGACCCCGTGACCGGCCGCGGAGAACTCCACCGACTGCTTGGGACCGGAGGGGATCCCCCGAAGGACAAATTGACAACCTGGTTGCCAACGTTCGAGGGTAGTGCGCGAAAAGGGGCGTTCGCACGGATGGAAGGTATGAGGGAAAGAGTAGAGATCATGATTGAGGAGGCTTTTAGTAAGAAGGAATGGATCAAGATGGGCCTGCCTCTGAAGAAAAGGAGGCAAGAGGATGAGGTGCTAAGGGTTATGGTGGTCGAGAAGGAGGCGGAAGTCGAGCTTGGGGCCAGCCTGCCCAAATCAAAGGAAGACCGGAAGGAAACGTCGGAGGTAGTACTTGAAATTCCAGACTTGTTACAGCTCGTTAAGGCTATCAAGTACCACAAAGTAGGAGTGGACCGGGCAGCGCTTGCCAAATTCGAAGAGGAGGTCCGAAAGGGCTACTGTCTGAATGGCAAGTTAGTCAGTATCCAGCCCCGTATCATAGAGGTAGCAAGGCCAATCCCGACCGTTCATTTTTTAGGAGAACGATCCAGAAGGGAGTGTGCGAAAGTACAAACCCGTAGGGAAGAAAGCCAAGTCGGTCTCAATCCTAGTAGAAACATCAAGGGAAGAGGCCATGGAAAAGGAACAAGAAATCCTGCGCAACGGAAGGGAACCGGATACCTGATGAAATAGCGGATACCATGAAGATAGGGGTAGAAGGGTTCCTAACGGTGGAAGAGACACAGTTGATAAGGAGGGCGTGCCAAAAATTTTACGTAGCCTTCGCCTTCAATGACCACCAGAAAGGTCGATTGGATGCGAAGTTGATTTCCCCCGTTAGGATCCAGACGGTGGAACACGAATGATGGAATGACAAGGGGTCCGCCTACGCGTCCGGAATAGCTGCGGAAGTCACTGAATTGCTCAGAGCCAAGATAGATTCGTTCGTGGCTAAACCCACCGCATCCCCCTATGCGAACAAGTGGTTTATTTTTCAGAAGCCAAACAAATCGCTCAGATGGATCCAGGACTTGTAGAAGCTGAATGCGGTTACGATCCGGGATGCGGGATCACTTACACAGGCTGACCTACTGGCAGAGTCTCACGCCGGACGACACATCAACTCCTGATAGATCTATATTCGAGATGTGACCAACTACCGCTCGACGCGAGGGATAGACCATACACCACCATGCACACCCCTGTAGGTCGGCTGCAAATGCAAGTTACTCCTATGGGCTTCACAGATGTTGTGGCGGAGGCACAGAGGAGGATGCTTGCGGTCGTAGGGGACATGTTCCCGGAAAAATGCCAGCCCTAAATAGATGACAATCCCATAAAAGGCGCGCAAAACAAGGATGAGACAAAGGTCCAGCCGGGCATACGAAAGTTTGTCGGGGATCATCTACATGATATCAAGGATCTGCTCCAACGATTCCTGGTATATAATATCACCGCAAGCAGGCCAAAGAGCATCCTGGCGGTCCCAGAAGTAACTATACTGGGGTTTCGCTGTGGGGCCTACGGAAGGAAACCGGACCCGGCAAAGACGGATAAGATCTCTCAATGGCCAGCAACACCCCTGTGTACCACGACGGAAGTACGAGCCTTCCTAGAGGTGGTCGGATTCTGGAGAATTTTTATCAAAGGCTTTGCCAAGATAGCTGAACCTATCCGCGCAATGATTAGGGAAGGAGGGACCATGGAGTGAATTGAGGATAGGGAGGCGGCAATCCAGACCCTCAAAGACGTCTTGTCCTCTGACCAAGTCACCTTGGCAGCGCCCTGCTTCAATGATGAAGTAGGACGACCCTTCATCTTGGAAATAGACGGAGGATCTTTGGCAGTAGGAGGAGTCCTGATACAGAGGAGCGAGGAAGGTAGGAAGAGGCCTATCAAGAAAGAGATTTTAGCCACTCTATATTGCCTTAAGACTTTTCAGGCATACCTATTCGGGAGACGGTTTATCCTGATCATCGATCCGACCAATGTCGTCGGGGCGTTAAAGAACTACAAGCCTATAAACCCGATCGTTGGGAGATGGATAGGCTTCATATGGCAATTCGACTACAAGGTCGAGCGATATGCGGGGCTCCGAAATAGAGCAGACGGGCTAAGTCGGGTTTGCATTACGCCGGAGGGAGTAGAGGACGAGGAGCCAATCGACGCCTTCCTGAAGTACGAAGGGGGGACTTTTGTCATAGACAACGAAATGGCAGACGCCGCTCCTACAATGGATCAACAGCTGATTCAGACCCTTGAAGAAGGCGCGCCTGCCATAGTTGCGGAACTCAGGGAAGGGCCAGTCACCACGATTAGACGCAAGGATGAGAAAGATTCGTGGGGCGCAAC